AATTTAAAAAGTATGTCCTATTTACCATAAATTTGGTGCTGAGCATACAATAGTGAATATTAGTGACAAATATCCTTAAGAAGGGAGTTCTTAGCAGTAAACACGTATCTCAAAAAGTAGAAAGACTGAATAAACAACCTAATGATGCACCTCAAGGAAGTGGAAAAGTAAGAACAAACCAAACACAAAAGTAGTAGAAGGAAAGAAATAATAAAGATTAGAGCAAAAATAAATGAAATTGAGACTTAAAAATTAAAAGGTAAGTGAAACAAAAATTGGTGTTTGAAAAGATAAACAAAATTGAAAAATCTTTAGCTAAAGGAAGAAAAAAGAGAGAAGACCCACATAAATAAAATTTGAGATGAAAAAAAAGACATCACAACTGATAACACAAAATACAACGGATTATTAGAGACTACTATGATAACTATATGCTAACGAATAGTAAGACCTACCTAAGAAATAAATTCCTGGACATATAGAACCTGCCAACATTGAACCATGAAAAAATAGAAATCCTGTTTAGACTAATAATGCATAACATGATTGAAACAGTAAAAAGTCTCCCATCAAAGAAAAGCCCATGACCTGATGGCTTCACTCCTGAATCTATCAAAGATTTAAAGAAGAATTAACACCAATTATACTCAAACTATTCTAATAAATTAAAGAGGAGGGAATACTTCTATTTTCATTCTATGAAGCTAACATTACCCTAATATCAAAACCAGACAAGGATACATCTGAAAAAGAAAGCTACCAGCCAATATCCCTGAGAAGCAGAAATGCAAAAATCAACAAAACACTAGCATGTTGAATTCAACAGCATTTAAAAGGATTATTCACTATGATCAAATGAGATTTATCCTTGGGATGCCAGAATGGTTCAACTGTGCATATCAATAAATGTGATACACCACATTAACAGAATGAAGGACAAAAATCAAATCCTCATCTACATAGATGCAGAAAAGGCATTTGGCAGAATTCAGCATCTGTTTATGATAAAAACTCTCAGCAAACTAGATATAGAAGAAGTGTACCTTAACAATATAAAGACCATATATGTATGACAAATCCACAGCTAATATTATATTCAATGGTGAAAAGTTGAAAGCTTTTTCTCTAAGATCAGAAGCAAGTTAAGGATGCCCACTCCTGTCACTTCTACTCATCGTAGTACTGGAATTTCTAGCAAGAGCAATCAGTAAAAAGAGAAAAAAAAATGGTATTCAAATTTGGAAAGGAGAAGTTAAACAGTCCCTGTTTGCCGACTACATGATCTTATATATAGGAAATCCTAAAGATTCCACCAAAAAAACTGTTAGAACTGATAAATTTAATAAAATTGCAGGTTACAAAACAAATACTAAACATATTGCTAGTGCTTCTATACATCAATAGCAAACAATCTGAAAAAGAAATCAAGAAAGCAATCCCATATATGATAGCTACAGAAATTACCTAGGAATAAATTTAATCAAAGAAATGAAAGCTCTTTATATGAAAACATAAAATATTGATGAAAGAAATTGAAGAGGACACACACTGTAAAATGGAAACTATCACTTTCTCATGGCTTGGAAGAATTAATATTGTTAAAATGTTCATGCTTTCCAAACAATCTATAGATTCATTGTAATACTTGTCAAAATACCTATGATGTTCTTCACAGAAGTAGAAAAAAATCCTAAAATTTGTATGGAACCACAGAAAGCTCCAAATAGCCAAAGCAATTATGTGCAAAAAGAACAAAGCTGGGGCCATCACAGTACTTGATTTCAAAATATCCTACAAAGCTATAGCAACCCAAACAGGATGGAAGTTTCATAAATACAGTGGCTAGAGCCTTATGAAATGTATTGATTTAATCAATACTTGAAAGTCAAAATTGTTCCTTGATCCAGGGGCTGCAGACATGAAAACAACAGTAATTTCTTTTTACATCTCCTTTAGAGTTCTTAGATGACTAGGAGCATTATAAATGAGCACTAATATATTGAAGTGATTTTTTTTTCTGAGCAGTATGTCTCAACAATAGGCTTAAAATATTCAGTAAATTATGTTGTAAACAGATGTGCTGTCATGCAGGCTTTGTTTTTCCATTTATAGAGCACAAGAAGTAGATTTTTCATGATTTTTAATGACCCTAAGATGTTTGGAATGATAAATGAGCACTGGCTTCAACTTAAAGTCATGAGTGGTGTTAGCCCCTAATAAGAGAGTCAGCCTGTTTTTTGAAGTTGTCCTCTGTAGTCAGGCATTGACTTCTCCTCCAGTTATGAAAGTCCTGGATGGTACCTTCCTCAGATATAATGCTGTTTTTCTACAGTGAAATGTGTTGCTTGGTGTAGCCGCCTTCATTAATGATCTTAATTAGATCTTCTGGATAACTAGCTGCTTCTACATCAGCACTTGCAGCTTCACCTTGTACTTTCATATTGAGAAGACCTCTTTCCTTCAACATCATGAACCAAGTTCTGTTAGCTTCAATCTTCTCTTCTTCAGCTTCCTCCCCTGTCTTAGGCTTCACAGAATTGAAGAAGTTTAGGGTCTTGCTTTAGATTAGGCTTTGGCTTGAGAGAATGTTGTGGCTTGTTTGATTTTCTATACAGACCACTAAAACTTTCTCCATATCAGCAATAAGGCTGTTAGGCTTTTTGTTTTGTTTGTCATTTCTGTGTTAACTGGAGTAGCACTGTTTATTTAATTCAAGATCTTTTCCTTTGCATTCACAACTTGGGTAAATGGTTTGGTGAAAAGGCCCTACCTTTTGGCCTATCTTAGCTTTTGACATGCATCCCTCACTAAGCTTAATCATTCCTAGATTTTGATTTATTTATTTATTTTGTTTTGAGATGGAGTCTAACACTGTGGCCCAGGCTGTAGGTCAGTGGCGTGATCCCGGCTCACTGCAATCTCCCCCTCCTGGGTTCAAGCAATTCTCCTGCGTCAGCCTCCCAAGTAGCTGGGACTACAGACGTGCGCCACCACGCCCAGCTAATTTTTGTGTATTTTTAGTAGAGACGGCATTTCACCATGTTAGTCAGGGTGGTCTCAATTTCCTGACCTCTTTTTTTTTTTATTGCATTTTAGGTTTTGGGGTACATATGAAGAACATAGAAGATTGTTGCATAGTTACACACATGGCAGTGTGATTTGCTACCTCCCTCCCCATCACCTATATCTGGCATTTCTTCCCATGCTATCTCTCCCCAACTCCCCATCCCCCACTGTCCCCTATTTCCCCCCAACAGACCCAGTGTGTGGTGCTCCCCTCCCTGTGTCCATGTGTTCTCATTGTCTTGATCTGCCTGCCTTGGCCTCCCAAAGTACTGGGATTACAGGTGTGAGCCACCACGCCTGGCCATGGCTTTTGATTTGAAGAGGGAGACTTTCAACTGAAAAGAAGTGTGACTCTTCCTTTCAGTTGAACACTCAGAGAGGCCATTGTAGGGTTACTAATTGGCGTAATTTAAATATTGTGTCTCAGGGAGTAGAGAGGCCTGAGGAGAGAGGAGAGGGAGAAAACAGGGGAATGGCTGGTTGGTGGAGCAATCAGAACACACACAACATTTATGGATTATTAAGTTTGCTGTGTTATATGGATGTGGTTCAGGGCCCTCCAGAACAATAACAATAGTAACATCAAAGATCACTGATCATTGATCACCATAATAGATATAATAATGAAAACTTTGAAAATTTGCAAGAATTAGCAAAATGTGACACAGAGACACTAAGTGAGCATGTACTGTTGGAAAAATAGTGCTGATAGGCTTGCTCAATGTAAGGTTGTCACAAACCTTCAATTTAAAAAAAAAAAAAAAAAAAGCATTATCTGTGAAGTGCAACAAAGCAAGGCACAATAAAACAAGGTATTCCTGTACAGAATTATTCACTGCTTTCTGATTTGGAGAGAGATGTCAGGTAGAAGGAAGTGTGTGTGAATGTTGGGGTAGGGGAAGTTGGCAGGGATTGGGAGGGGCCACACTGGCAAGTCACATGGTCATCCCATCACATGAGTGTTGATTAAGTGTTTATTACATGGCAGATTCTGTGTTGTGTACAATGGAGGAGATATGAGAATATGCTTCCTGCCTTCAGAGTGCTTGCAATTAGTGGAGGGAACAAAGATAAAATCTGTGAAATTAGTAAGGTGCAATTCAAAAACACGTAAGTGCACAATTAATTACTAAATTGCGTAATGCATGCTCTGTGGTGAAATTAACATGCAGAAGAGAGAGACTGGACTGCAGTGGTGACTCTAAAGTTTGTTCTAAAAGTTGGTTAAAATTTACCTAGAGAATAAAATGGCTGAGAATCTCCAAAGTGAGAGAAGCTGTGACTAAAGTACTGTGGCAGAAATGAGTAAAATATGCATGAGGGGAACAATAAAGTATTGATATTTTTGGAAAAGATATTGAATAAAGGGAATCAGATAAAAATAAGTTAGGTTGAGACAATTTCATGCATATTTTTCAAACTGGTGGAAGAATTTATACTTTCTGCAACAATCAACAGAAGACTACATAGGGGTATGGTAAGATACTGTTATAGGGGAAAGGGATGATGGGAGCCAGGGATGAAGTGGAGACTCAGGAGGCTATTGTAATCTGAGTATAAGATGATGGGTGCTCTGAAAAGGGTGATTTTATGTAGGGATGCAGTGAGAGTGAAAAAGGGAAAGGAAAGACAAGAGACAGAGAATGGAGAGCTGGGGAAAACAGTGTGATATGCTGAGATAGTAAATTCATTTCTAAACTTCATGTTGTATTTTTCCCTTTTTCTTCTCATATGCGAGTAAATATATGGTTTGGGGCTCAGTGTCTCAAGGAAGGGATGTGGTTGAGTGGACACAAAAAACCTGGCTTTTGTTTTAGCAATCTAAACCTCATAATGGGGAAAGGACTTGTGTAGTCAGTAAAATAAAGTAGACATGAGAGCAAAGGAAAGTGTCTTGGCTGGATATTGGAAGGTAGAATTGCTTTGACGTTAGAAAGTAATGGATTGGAATGATCAGAACTGTCTGACACAATTTGAGTTTGCTATAGCAAGAAAGTATCACCTATTCCAGTGTTCTCTCTTCATGAAACAAGCTGTTATAAAAACTTAAACAGTATTTAAAAAAAGAGAGAGAGAGAAGATAAAAGCTGGGTGGTTCATGGTATCCTAGAGATCTGAATCTTCCACTTCATTTCCTGGCAATGCTCTTGAGAAGATGAGGCTTGATAAGATGCTATCAAAGAAGTAACTCCATGAGGCTTCTGGCAGGTGGGAAATGGGGAGCTTTGTGGCAAAATTTCTACACTCCAAGAATGGTACAAAACTGTCACCTGAAAGACCAGAATGCCATGGCATGATGGACTTCTCAGGTGTAACCTGTATATGAGAGGCGATTCAGGACCATATTATCTTCCTATCTCCCCCCAATCCTTAACCCTATAAGATCCTTAAGATCCTTACTCTTTCTTTAAACCTCAACACAACCTTTAAATAATTGGGAGACTCTTCAAAATGACTCAAGGTGAAGTGTTCAGCCTGCATTCCAGACTCATAATAACAATTCAGTTGAGTAATGAAAATTAATTTGTTTATTGCATATCTGAATTAGTGAACTTTAGCTATTCCTCCTACAATAGTGAAAGACATACTTTATCAAATGTGAATATAAAACATTTCTTTTATTAGAAAAAATATGAATTTACTAAATGTCAAAATCCTTTTTGGAAAATACTTCTAATCGTGCATTTTCTTTTTTCTTGTTTTCATTTTTTAATAAGGAATTATTGATAAACTCCTAATGGGAGGCCCCAGCAGTATAAGCAAAAATAACACATAGGCTCTAGCCTCAAAAGGGAGGAGAAAATGTAAGCAAATAATTATGATGTGGACTCTTTCAAATCTATCGTAGAACAGCTTGGACTGGAAATCAGTCAATCACAAGGAAAATTCCTATGTGTTATCATACACATCAAATTGTGTACTAGATCTGGTGGTCATGGGGGGAATTATTTATTCATAAAAATATAATATTCGATATGACTATGTTGAGTAAGAATCTAGTCTAGAACACTATTTTTGACTAGGTGAAGATGGAGGAGGAGGTGGATAGTAAGATAACTGTAAAAATCTTCCTAAGTTTGAGGAATTTGACATTTAGTATTGAATGAGGACCATTCATATATACATATAAAATATGAAAGCAGGAGAGACTGGGAAAGATTAAGTTCTGTGTTTTTTAATATAGCAACTGGTGGAAGCTCTCTGTCGCCAGTCAGAATGTGTAAATGTTAGAAAACAATGAGAATGAAAAAGGAAAGGGAAGACAAGGAAGGTGACAGAATGTACACAAATATTGGAGGTTTAGTTTTGGGAATCATCTACAAATAAAATGTGGGTGAAATATACCTCTAAATGAATATTTGAAGATACTGAGGCTGAAATCTCTGAGTTCTGGGAAAGGCCCACAGCCAAAGCCTTGAAGGAAGAACTCAGGGAGAAGGGGGATGAGGAAATGCCTGAGCACTGAGAGGAATGACAGAGGACCAGGTCAGGAATCAGGGCAAGGCATTTCACGGGAGAGGAGAGTGTGTGGTCAAGTGTCACATGGCCCTCCTAGAGGGTTGCAAATTATCAGAATTAGGATGGGCCAATCTGTGACACAGTTGGAAATTTTGCTATAGGAAATAAGAGACAGATCCGTCTGTGGTTTTAGAATCTAAGATTCTGTTTCTTTTTTTCTTCCTTCTCTTCTGCCTGCTTTTTGTTAATTTACTGTGGGTAGCTTCCTCAAAGTCTCACTTTCTGTTTATCTTTATTTTACTTTATTTCTCCCAAATTTATTTTTGAATAAACAATACTTCCACGTAACAACAAATTAAAATTCAAAATGACACAAAGTTTACAGTACATATGTATGTATTGTCTGTGTATGTATACACATAAATACACACACAAATATCAACCTAGTTCCTCACCTTATTTTTTACCTAATAATTGTTATGGAGATTTTTGATGTTATTACATATTTAGAGAACTGTCTAATCATTATAAGGTCTGAATATTATTCTGTATGTGGACATAGAATAGAATATACTACTGATTCCCTACTAATAAAGACTCAGGTTGTTTCTAAATTCCAGGTCTTGACAAAGTAGTAATGAATATCTAGCAAAAACTTTATTGTGACTATGTGTAAAATCTTTGGATAATGTTCTAGAAATGCATTGGTTGGTTTGAAAGGGTATATGAATTGATGATGTTTATAAATATTAAGACCTTAATTTGAAATAGCATTTGTTTCCGGTAATACAGGAACAGAGGTTGTTAGCTCCAGAATCCAGAAGTTAGTGAAGTTTTTCTACATGTTAGTCATATGGAGATCTCCAAAGAGTGAATGAGACTCCTATAGGTAAAAACCCTATTGAGAAAATGTCATAGGCAGTGAGAAGCAAGAAATCCCATCGAGTGGCAGTGCCCGAGAGCCAGGACTCTTACTCTGATATTAGCCAGGGTTTACGTTTTGTGAGTTTTTCTGAGACATCACAGAAAGTCCTTTGTTTAAAATATTTCAAAACCAGAAAAAAAATTCAACTTGTAGTTCAGAAGGTAGAAAAATTAGAAACATCTGGTAAATTCGGCCGCAGACATGGCTTGTGTTGACATGGAGATGTAATAACCAGGAGGTTGACTAGTCCAGTCTAATTGTGGTGAATAATATTTTCTCAGCAGTCTCCTGGCCACAAAGTATGAAAAGGCCTTGGGAACATGCTGTAAAGTACCTTGATGCCCAGAACAATTACACTCTGGAAACATTCTCTTGGCTGGCTGAAAGTGACCCATGACCACAGCTCAGTTCATTCCACAAACAGAATTAGTCACAAAGCCATGTAGAATAACACTCTGCAGGACTTTCTTGTGTTGACTTTCTTAGTGCATGATAGCATGTTGGGTCTTCACACCCTGGAATGATATTGGCTTGGAATAGTAGGGATGAAAAATAGTGCAACATTTGCTTTACGTAATTATAATTTTTTAAATTTTATTTTTCATGTGGTTATTGACTGTACTCTTTTTAGAGCTTTCTTGTTTATGAGTGGAGCCTGTCTAAAAGTCTATGACTTAAATTTTTGCAGTTTTGACTATTTTAGTATTATGTAAACAACATATTAATTAATAGTGTCTTAAGAAACAGATTGACCTTCACTTTGTTCCTGTACTTCTGTGTCTTTCTGATCCTTTCCTGATTATATGAGAGAAAATTAATTACTTCCCTTTCATGTAATACATATGTACTTCAAACATAATCCAGTTGATTTACTTGTCACTTTGTATTTTAATTTATTTATAGGCTTGTCTCTAATTAGATATCTGCTCCTCAAAGTTAGGACAGTTTTATTTTATGAATGTATTCTTGGTGACTGCTTCAGTACCGAGTACATGATAAGTGAAGAATACAATTTATAATATGAATAAATTAGTCTGCTAATTATAGGAACACAAGGTGCTTTGATATGAAATCCAATCTGGCCACTAACAATCATTTTTTTCTGTTATGAGTTCATTCTTGCATCTGGTTTTCTTAGAGCTTTTTTACGAATCCATATTTTCCCAAAGGCAATTGTAAATTTCTGAGTATTTACTTTGAAAGCATCAGTATGTAATTTTGTAACCAGTCAATATAGACCAATTTTGTGATGCTACTTTTAAAGACTCCTGAAGATTATATTGCTTGATTAGAAGAGTTAGTTTGTTCTAATAAAAAGTTAGTATGTGTTTGCTTTCTACTGTACTGGAATATTATAATAATCATCTAAAACATGTACAAGATGTGTATCAAATTAAAGAAACTTCAAAAAATATTTTTCACCAGGAATCCATTGTCTGAATTACTTATAAACTATCACCATCAAATAGTGTTTATTGTACATTCACGTGTGTCTGCTACATTCCACATTACTGTCAGCGTAGCTGACCAATTAAGTCAGCAATTATTTCCAGATTGAGGCAACACACAGTATCCTGTTTCTATGGTTCTTTTCAACTTGGATTTGGTATCCCTTTAATTTTATTTGTGTAGAATTCTATTTGCTTTAAAGTTAAACATGAGTTTTAGTTATTGTTCCTTCCTTTGTCACTTTTAATTTCGTCGTATATTAAGTTTGTTTGTTGGAAAAAACCATTTTCTTAGACATGTTTTCCCTGAGGTTCCTCCTTTGCCCTTTATATTTATGTAGGCCAGCCAAATTTTATGTCCAAACTTTCATCCTTTCTTTAGGTAGGTATATGGGTATCATCTGACAGCACACAATGATGTTATAATATAGCTTTTGTGTTTTGAGAGGGCGAGGGGATGTGATCCAAGATATGAGAAGTTTTTATTTATAATGGACTGTCGGGAGATTATGTTAGTGATTGGTCCAGCTATGTTATATAGCTTTGAAAAAAATTACATAATTTTCTGAGGCTTGGTTTTCTTGTCTTTAAAATGTTGTGAAGATTAGAAATGATGTCCTTTGAGCATCTTGCATAGCGAATACAGTAGGCACTAAATATGATGGCTGATGACAGAATCTACAGCTACAAGAAAGGGTAAGAGATTGTCTTATTTGTGAATTGGTATATATGTGGTGTGCATGCAGCCACGCACATTTCTGTAGTCCACAGCAGACTCTACTATTAGCACTCTTTTCCATAAAGTCTGAGTGCAATTTATAAGTTAATTTCTGTAGTTAAGTTACAGAGTAGTGACTATTGCCAGTTAATCCAAGAAGGAAAATGAGTTCTATCCCATTTTTCATCCTTCATGTAGCCTCATCCTTTCATTTTACAGAAGAGAAAACTAAGGCTCAGTGAAGTTATGTAATTTCCTCAAGATGACACATTGAGGCTTGGTCAGAACCATGTACTAGAAGCCAGAACTCTTAATTCAGTTCTCCATCAGCTGGAACATCTGTGTTTTTTGTTGATCTTTTATAACTGGGGTAGAGATTCATGTAATTTGCAATTTTTTTCTAGAGCAAATAAATTAACCCATTATTTTCTTGAGCTAATATTTGTGGGTTCATATAAATGAGCCACACTGACCACTTTACACTGGTGATAATATGTTTTTTTTT